CGACACCGCAGCGTGTCGTGGACACCTGCTCCCGCGACGTTTCGCGCACAACGTATTTTCTTTTCGACTACACGGGTCGGGTTACCGGCTTCGTTTATCGGAAGCATGCCGGAACTAAAGTGGACTTACCCTCCAAGCGGCTACGATAGGGCAAGTATACAAATTTGCTAGCGCTAATCCCAGGCTTCTAGGCTGACTGACCGCGCGGTCACGCCTCGCTTCGCTCCGCTTGGAGAAAATTTAATACGATCTCGAGGGAACCCGAGCTTGGACCAGGCCTCATCCTTGGCAAACCCTTGGCAGTTCGCCGAGGGTTTGGCAAGCTATTAGTGTCACTCGAAGTCCGAATGCAGCCGCAGCTATAGACCTTTGCATCGCTTATCACCCGGGCGAAAAATGCCGAGTCACTGAATTGTGGACGCATGCACAGCGTCTCGTATACCCCACAACAGAGCTACAGCGCGTGCTCAGAAGGCTCAACCCATCAGACAAAGATGGCTACGCGCAGAAGGCGATTTTTGCGAGTGTAGCCAATCGAGCGGCACCGTGACTATGCACTTTTGGTGCCGCTTGATTTGGGGCCATCGGATCGTCAGCTGCGGTCGAAATGTCCGGATGCCGGCGAACGAGGCCATGTGCGCGGAAAGACGCTTTCGACGAGACGTCACAAGGTGTCAATAGAGAGTTTTAGTAGATCGTTCCGATAGCCCCGATAACGATACTATGCATGCACAAGGAAGGCGGCGGCGGAGTATCGGGTATCGTTATCGGAGTCATGGGAACGATCTACTAAAACTCTAATGAAACGAACGCGGGAACCTTTTGATCAAATGAACCGTCGACGAAACGTCCCGCCTCTGCCAGTGGCTCTCCCCGGAGGCATCGTAATCAGCACGTCCGTGGTTAAAGGAAAACTGCGAGGGAATGCGTGCAACGGTTTTGACTGCTCGGTTGCGGAAGCGTTGAAATCTCTGTATAATACGTCACGATTCCCTCCTCGCACCGAACGCGACAGAAAAGAGAGGCTTCAGCGCTATTTTGAAAGCGCTGTTATGGCTACTCGGCGTAATATTATTTTAGTACGCATAATCATAAAAAACGAGTTAAGTGTTTTTTTTCTTCTTCTTCTCAAGTACAGAATTACTTCAGTTTCCTTTTAGACATGCCGGCACTGCATTCCATGACGCGTCAGAATCGATTCCATCTGACCGGCGATTGGTTCGTTGTTTCGAGTCTGCCATTGGGTTAAGTCTCAAATTAGATGCGTATTTAACTAAGGTGATTAAAATGAGCCACATTTATCTTTCCTTTTCGATAGCTTCGCGCCATTTGTGTAAAAATCGAGCCTCGATTGGAATTTGTTTGCGTTACTCTGTGAACGTATGCGCGGAGTGTATTTCTACGAGTATGTTTTGTCGCTGCGATCAATCTCTTGGCTGCAGCGGCGGCCCGATAGTCGAGCGTCGCTCCGATCTCGACGCCGCTGAGGTAAGGCATTTCATTTGGCTCACGCGAGTGCGCCGTTTCTCGGCAGAACAAAAGGCGGAGCGATTGCCTCGACGGCCTCAGCGAGATCTCAAGTGCGACAAGATGGAAAGGACCGAATGCTCGCTCGCTCGTTTCGCATCGCTAGTCTTTCGACGAACCCCCCCCCCCCCCCCCCCCCCCCTTTCCTTGGTTGGTTTCTTTTTAATTTCGTTCCGTTCTAATCTTTAGCGTACCGAGTCTGCTTTTTATATATGTATATATTAGTAGAATTGTTTATTCGTCCGCTTTCTGGGTTGGCTGTTGTACGTGGCCTTCGCCGGATCAGGTAGTGTCAGCAACTGTAATGCGAAGTCGTCGACCGTCGGCTCTCAGTACCGTTTCGACGCTTTTACAAATCCACTGCCCTGCAGCGTTCAATCTCCACGGCCCAGTACGCTCCTGTTAGTTGTTTTGGAATGCGAGCAAAGCTAGCAAAACACGAGCCCTATACGAGCTACCAGAACGTCTGGGCTTGCCTCGTCTCGGCTGCTTTGGAAGGCACATGCCACCACCACCTTCATTGGCACGGTCCTGTGTCATGCCATAGCCTTTTACATAAGGGGTGTTCGCTGGATGCCATATTTGCGGGCGTTGTTTACAGCGCATGCTCAGAACGATCTCGCATTAATAGGCTGCTAAGATGGGCAATCTTGATGGTACGGAATGCACGTTGCAAAAGACCGCGGAAGCTTGCCATCAGCACGCGCTCAACATTTGCGCACGTTTTTTTTTTTTTTTTTTTTTTTTTTTTTGCAACTTGCAGAGTAAGGATATTTCAACTTTCTCCGCTGGTGCACGCACGTGCAATGCCACGGAAGCCTGTAAGCAATATGAAAATTAAAACGTAACCGCATGGGTAGCACGTGCACTACCGGTTGAGGAAGACAGAAGCGCCCCTCGCGAGCTTCTCAACGCGAATAGGAGGCTATGGTAAGGCGTGCTCCATCTCGAGAGTTTTTATCGAATCGCACGTCCAGCGGCGTTCGGGTTTGACCGGAGTGTCGTCAAGGGCGCATCGTATCGGAGTCGCCGGTTTCCGGTGGGGAGTGGCTCGCGTTTAACGTGAATTTAGTCCGCCGTATAGACTGCTGGCTCGAGTCGCGCTACTCGTACATGGTATAGAAAAGACGCTTCTGCAGATACTGCCTGAAACGTGTTTCTTCCTCGTATGGCGGCCATATTGGTCATTCAAGAACCCCTTCTGCAGACGTGTTTGGTGTATACATATAATTCTGTCACGTCTTCTGCGAAACACCGTGTCGTTTGTGTGATACATGTCCAGTGTCGCTGCGGCTTTACATATACTGCGAATGTCTACTCTCAGGAAAAAAAAAGGGTGTATTATTGCACCCTTTGTCCCATATAATACACCCCAAAACTTCATTTCGACGTGCAGCGCACTGACGTGGATCTGACGGTACTAACTTTCACGAGAGGCTTGATAGCCGTGTGGTACAGCATTATTAAAATAGCTGATGCACGTGTTACTGACCACAAAAACAATAATCAGGGTTTTCTTGGCCTTATACTGTAAAAACTCGGTGTTTTCTTTCTGTGGTACGTACTTTAGCTATTTAAGAAGTTATATCGCACCGTTATCAAGCCCCTCGTAAAATTTGCGGCCGTCTGTTCGACTATAGTGCGCTGTACATCGACCTGAAGTTTCGGGGTGCATTATATGGGACAAAGGGTGTAAAGTGACACCCTTTTTTTAGAGTATAGAAGGCTCGTAGCGTTTCGAGGTCGGAGTACCAGCGCGCTCTGTGTTGTCGTATCTTCTCGTGCGACACGTAGCGACAAATGCGCCAATGTACGAGGCCCGTTTTCCCCCATAGAAGCAACTGACGGCGCTGCACTGAGATGATCTATCATGACGCCATGTTGCTCTTCCAGCGACTGCTCGTGTCTCGCGCATTCGCACGACGGTGGTTGTCGATACTTGCAAGCCGCTCCTTTGTTCTGAGCTGTGTTGTGAGAAACGCGAAGCCTGAATTTTGTCCAGGGGCTTTGGGCGCAGGAAGGCGTGAGAGGTTCATTCGCATTTACGATGATATCGAGTGGCCTTACGTAATAAAGCGCGAGCATGAAGTACTTCCGAATCGCTTCTGGTGCATCAGTTAGATCTTGTCACGATGAGTAATGCGATTGCGAATGCAAACTTTTACGCCTTACACTAGCACAGACTCACGAGGAAATCCCCTTCTTGGGAGTGACTTGGGTGCCTTTGATTTTACCCTGAAACACCAGGAGTTTTTTTTATCTAAATTCAGAATTGAAGTTGTTGTTCTAATTTTTCCAGCGCGGGACGATACGTTCTAGCGGCGAAGGTGACTTGATCGAATCGGCATCGCGTTTTTTTGTTTTTTTTTTTTCATATTTATTTTGGGCTCATGGGAAAGGGGGAGGAGATGTGAGTCTTCATTGAAGGGACCAGCTGGCTTTCTGGGAAAAGGTTAACAGAGGAAGAGACAAAAATAATAATACAATGGAGTACTAGCTGTGACTGCCACCAGATGAGTCTGATTCTTGAGACGGGTCCGTGTTCCTGGACAAAGAAGAAAACGAGGTTCTAGGGGGGCGGCTTTCGCTGTCGGCATGGTGGATCGTCGGCCCACGGCGCTCCTTCGCCGTGCCCCAAGTTGCTGCCTGTGCCGCATCTGCACGACCGGCGGCCATGAAGCTGAACCGGTGGATGCGAAAGTAGGCCGCCTCGAGTACGCCTTATGACCACAATGTCGACGGGCTTTATAAATCCTCGCGCTCGCTCTATGCCTTTTCTTTCCCTCGTTGGTTCACTAGGGGAGGTGAAAGTTTGGTGTTACGCGTTCGCAACAACTGACCATGCAATATGAATTGAAACATTCGATCTGGCCTTTTTCGGAGCCTGCGGTCCCCACAAGCTTTAGATAACTCTCGATTTGTCGTAGCCCCAAAGAATGAGATCCCGACTTCGCACTCCATTCGTAATTTAGACCACCTTTCTCTCTCTCTCTCTCTTTCTCTCAAAAACTCGCAGTTGGGCCAAAGAAACATGGACATGTTTCACCCCGTCGTGTTGTCCGCGATAGTACGTCATTTCGCCAGCTATGTTCGTCACGCAGTCCATTCTAGACTAAGCTTTCAGCTCTGGACCGGCAATGGACAGGAATATGATAGAATGCTGTTCCAACTAGGACCTGTACACAACTTGCACTGGCAGCTCATCAGCAGCCATTGTGAAGGACATTGCTGCTGCGCGCGTACCTTCTGCAGCATATATCTCGCGCCTCCGGATTTGTTTTTCACGGCAAGAACAATAAGGAATCAATGTATGCATGGTGCAGTGCCGTCACATGCCATGTATAAGGTCTAGGTTGCTATTCAGAGGAGCTCCCCTAACAAACATAACATTGATCTGTGCTTTATCTATACAAATTCTTGTGGGTTCTTTTTTCTTTTCCCTTAAATATTGCTGCTTTATTATCTCTTTGCAGAGCAGACATTGGCCTGATTGGCCTGGCAGTCATGGGACAGAACCTGATTTTGAACATGAATGACCATGGCCATGTGGTGAGTGTATTTATTCTATCTGTTAGACGAATTCGAGGCCGAGTTGATCTGTTGTGGTAGCTCAGCAAACAGTACCTGCTTTATTTTAGACTCTCATGCACATATATTGTAGCCTGATGGAATTTTACAGTGCCTAAGAAAAGGATAAGGCTACAGACTGCTGCCAGCGAAGCGTTCAGACGTTCAATGCTATCACTCTCGCACTCTTAAGGGTGTAAATAGTTTTGACGCAGGGCTAGCACCCCTTTATGCAGAAGGGAAGAGGGGGGGAGGGGGGGGGGGGTTTGGGCGATCATTGTGGCTTTCTATAAATTTTTCGGTCCTCTTTAGGACTGCACTGCATACATCATCATCATACTCAAAATATGGGTGCTGAAAGGGTGTAGCCATGGGTTTAAGTCTGGAACACCCTTTTCACACCCTTGGGGGGGGGGGGGGGGGGGGGGTAAATTTTTGCATGTGCATGCCCCTTTTTAACTGGTCTCTAATCTCGTGGTTCTAATTATAATATCGTATTGTTATGTCAGATATGTGTCAAGATTGCTAATAATTCAGCTTTCTAATTGTGCAACCAACTTCATTACTTCTTAAAGAGGTACTTCGCCGTTTTCTTCAACAGTCCCAGATTTGCCTAAAAACTTGCTAAACACATCAACAAACATCGCTGAAGTAGTAACTCAAATATTTGGCCAAAAAAACTTTTTTTCGTGAAGTTATAAAATTTACAATTTTGGTCCTCATCGTGCTTTTTGAAAGTGAAAAGCCCTACTGGCAACATTGAAAAAGTGACGTCATGGGAAGGCAGGGATTCACTCTTTGGGCTGTAGACTTTGTTCCCAACTGATTACAGTTTCATGGTGTCAAATGAAGGTTTTGGAAGGTCGCCCCAGCTCCCGCGCAGCACCACGTAGCAAATGCTCGGCACAGTTCATTTTTAGACAGCCCGCTCGAACCGCAAGCCGGCCATCCCGTGACGTCATGACAATGAAAAGCGCCGGCATAATCGAATCTTGGTTTTGACGTCATTTATTCCATTCCGTCAGGGAATGGAATAAACTGTCGAATGAAACGGTGACGTCATCATCCATTACGACCTTCCTTCACTGCATTGAAAACGTTTTGATATGTGCGAGTAACTGAATGAGTATCGTGTGTATCGTCTTGATTACGTGCCAGCACGGGAAGTTATCTATGAAGTGTCAGCATTTTTTATGAAACCAAGCGAAAGGCGAGAACTGTGTGTATTTACATCTTGTATCTTTTTGCTTTTTATCGTTTGTACCTTCCACTCCTGTAATGGCCCTGTGATAGGGCTAACAGTATCAATAAATAAAATAAATAAAATTTTCATTTGCCGAATTCGCAATAACTATTTTGAATTTCGCGATACTAAGTAGCATACCGGAAAGAGTATAAGATGGCGATTTCGAAAATACAGTTAGGTGGGGCTGCTCAAAAAATCGCCGGAGTTCCTCTTTATGTATTGAAATTACAAGTGTATTGTAATCATCTCTTTTTGTTCAACAACGTAAATTATCTTGCCAACATTATTGTTTGACAAGTTACATACCCGTTTTAACTACCTTTCATGCTCAAAACATAGGATCTAAAAGGGTCCTGCAAAGGCAACCAAAATTTCAATAATTGATCCTCTATGTTTCTGTCAAATGTGTTGTTGTGCCTATAAAATAAGTTTTACTTGCTTCCCAGAAGGCTCTAATAGCAGTATTTTACTTTTTAGATGTCTTATACCAAACCATATAATTCTGTCATTTAAAAAGACAATAAAACTGGATGGCAGTGAAATGGAGGAGCAAATCCTTGTAAGCTTGCAGACCTCCAGGTGGATCCACACACTTAACTGTTGTACAGGGCTTCCATGATCTAGTCACTAAATGAGCTGCGCTTAGAGTATCGGCACTCCGTTCCCCGGCATTGTTGTGGGCGCCGCCATTTTGGCTCGTATGCAGAGCAGACGCAACTGCCGATCGTCATGATTCAAAAGTGCGACTTCCTCAGCATTAGATTCGGCATTAGGAAGGTCACGCAATATTGCTTTGCTCTGTCACGAACTGTTTAAACATTTGTGGAGGACGGAAAGACGTTTCCTGTGATTTCAGATAAAGCTTCAGATAATTGGCAACCATGATTTTAAGACACAATATAGCCAAGTGTCGTTACTCTGAAGCGTAGCTTATTTAGTGGCACTACCATGATCCTTCTTGGCATCTTTTTGTATGAATCTATAATTTTCTTAGATCGTTTTGAGTTGCATTGACTCATGAAGCTTTGCAGAGTGTTCTGAAAGCACCTTATGCACCCCCGTACCCTCAGGTGTGTGCCTTCAACAGGACGACAGAAAAGGTAGACGAATTCCTCAAGAAGGAAGCCAAGGGGACCAAAGTTATTGGTGCCCACTCCCTCGAGGAGCTGGTCTCCAAGCTCAAGACGCCACGCCGCATCGTCCTCCTTGTCAAGGGTGAGGGGCTTCCGAGGTTCTCGTCAGCTATTGGCAGGTTTCAAACATATAGTCTCATAAGTTGAGGCACATATTCTCAAACCGGGTTCCTAGAGGTGTTTGCTCAAATTTTCTCACCCTACCCCAAATCGGCTGTTTTCCCATCTTGCACACTGTTTAAGAATAGCGGAGCTATTCATCAGTGTGTTGCATATAGAGTGTGGTGTTTATTGCAGGCTAAACTTCATTTGAGAAAACTATGGGCATTGCACAGAAAAGATGGCTAATGTATTAGTCACTACCAAAGGAACCATCTATTGAGGTGCATACATTTTGGAGTAATTGTTTTATGAATTTTGTCTGAATGTTTTAGTTATGACAAAATAGTTTCATATTAAAACTTGCAGGGCATCCTATCAAGGTACTAATTAAGTGGCTTGGAAAACTTGTGTGTATCATTCTACTGTGTCTTCCAGAGGAAGCAATTTGATTACATGCATAAGCTTTTGGTTTCCTATTGGCTTGTGGAGGTATATTATAATGGCGGCATATTTCCTCCAATAGGGAATAGAACACCAAAACCATTGCAGTTGGTTTAGATTTAAACCATATTCAACTTTGTTCTGCCATATCCACAATTTAGCACCTAGCCAACATTGCATCACCACCATATTCCTCCTTGTTATTCTGTATCTTTGCTGGCAATGCATTGAGCTAATAGCACTGGGGAGGTGGTCAAATTTTTTAGTAAGTGTTTCTCCACTTTTTATCAGATGTTCTATCATACTATAGTTGACATGATATAAACTATGTGCACAGTAAGTACTCTCATTCAAACTCTAGGATGCCGGAAATTTTGTTTGAATTATCAGAATTTTGAATTGTCAGAAAATTATCTAAATAGAATTGAAGGTAAAATTATGATTTGTTTTATGGATGGCTGCACATACAGTGCAAATATTTGATGATTTCCTCTGCACAGGCGCATAATCATAAGCAGGTATGCCACACATGAAGTATTGGTGAAGTCCATGAGAACTTTATTCATTCCTCAAAGATGTTGTCTATCGTGGACTTATAGGCAGCACATGACACTTTAAAACAAACAAGTTTCTTTATACAGTAAAAAAGTTATGTATTGAGAACTATTAGCCTCATTGAGTGCGGTTCTTACTGAGCACCAGTGCACTGCGGAGAAGCAACACCCGCAGAAGTGAGCTCTGCGTGTGTTGCTTCTCAGCAGTGCTGCGATGCTCAGTAAGAAGCATGCTTAATGGGGCTGCGAGAACAAAAAGTATGAACCGCACGAAAACTTCGTTTGAATGAAGTGGCCAATAGATATATTGGAAACATAGAGGAACAACAAAAGTCTTTAAGATGTTTGAATCAACCAGAAGTATGAAATATCCAAGTTTAAATTATTCCGAGCCTACTGTATGTTCCGTAGCTTCTTCATATATTTCCGATTAACTGTGGTAACATCTTTGATGACCTGATTGTGTGGTGTTGCAGCTGGACAGGCTGTTGATGACTTCATCAACAAGCTGACTCCCTTGCTCACCAAGGGGGACATTTTGATTGATGGCGGCAACTCTGAATACCAAGACAGCGAGCGCCGCTGCGAGGCACTCAAGGCCAAGGGCATCCTGTTTGTGGGCTCGGGGGTCAGTGGAGGGGAGGAGGGGGCTCGCTATGGACCCTCTCTCATGCCCGGAGGCAACAAGGAGGCCTGGTGAGTATGGCTCTCTGGGTGATGTGCTAGCTTTACACATTCGACCACTGATCACGAAGGACTTCTGTCCGGAGGCTCGTTTCGTCCTTTTATTGTCAGCGACGTCCGGGTTGAACCACTTTCTGTAACAGGGGAAGTCTGTGCTAACAATGTTAAGGCGAGCGTTATCAGTCTTCAGTGCCAATAACTCTGACATCAGTGTGTATACCAAAACGTGTGCTCACTGAATGTGTGCTACCAGTATGTCTGCATAGTGGAATGTCTGCACAGTGGAATGCCTAGATAATGGAACCACTCTGTTTCAGGATGTGCCAGGAGACTTATTGTTGGTAACATTTTATAAACCCCATTTTCTTCCAAGTTGCACACACATTAAGACATACAAGCTCACTAATGTCCATGGGCCAGTGGTGCTCGCCTCTGCACTAAAACTTTCAGTTGGCACCAGCTTCCCGTCACTATGACGAAGTGGCAAGTCCTACAAACTTTGAGGACATGTTCTACAAGCCTACAATTTAAAAGGGGTTGATCAGAAATTGTGGTCACACTCCCGGTTGACACAGCACTTTTATGTCCTGTCACACTTAAGCTTTTGTGTTTTTTTTTTTTTTTTGACACTGCCCCAGTTTTGCCATTTGGAATGAACTTGGGGCAGCCTTGGCGGTCTTTGATGCACTGAGGTGGGGGTGTATTTCATACCATGTACAGTGTCTTGTCGCTCACTTTTTAGGCCCCATATCAAGGACATTTTCCAAGGGATTGCAGCCAAGGCTGATGGAGAGCCCTGCTGTGACTGGGTAAGAGCATGTTAAGCAACTTCACCATCTTAGCATTTGGCATCAACTTCTTCAGTAAAGCAATAAGCCTTATCCTTTGTTCACCTGTTCCACACAACCAGAAAATATTTTGGATTTCAAAAGAACTTCAGAAGGATTATAACCATAGAAATTATGCTAGAAATGCCTATTCTGCTATTGGTCTGCTAGAAATGTGTAGTGGCTGGTATTAAATAAATTTGAAGTAGGGGACGAGTATTTTTTACTAATTTGTAGTGCGTGCTGGGATTTTATTTCCTCTGAGGAAAATAATACTTGGTTTCCTTTCTAAGAAATTGGCATTGCTAGGTTTAACTTTTAAGTCTATTTTTATACAGCAATTCTGTTCCACACACCTACTTACGGGCCAAAGTTTTGAAAAACTCGTTAATTTATCGGTGATTTTCACCCAGTACTGGTTACGACCTACTGTGCTACCTGACTTTACATGGCACTTTTCCCTTGTCTCTATTGCAACAGATATACTAGGTGGAAACAATTTGAGCGTTATCTGTACTTCATTCCTTTTGCTTCTGTTCTCCCACTCATCCTCTGTTCCTTTTGGTTGATAGATTTTTTTTTCTCAAAAATGTGGCTTGTAAGCTACATTTTTCACACTGTAATTTTTTAGCATTTACTATAGGACATTTTAATTAAACTTTATCGACTTCTTTTGGTCAGCTTACCTAGTGCATCAGGGCCCGTGTTGCATCTTGTGCCATAAACACTTAATCATCCTCACCTGTTGTCCTGGGTAAAGGATAACGTGCCATCCCTTGGTTCCAGGTTGGTGACGGCGGTTCCGGCCACTTCGTCAAGATGGTGCACAATGGGATCGAGTATGGGGACATGCAGCTGATTGGTGAGGCATACCACCTCATCAAGGATGCAACGGGCATGTCCCACGACGACATGAGCAAGGCGAGTTTATGTCAGGATGGTGGTGGAACTCGGGAAAACAGCCAAGTACTTGTGGTTGCCTGGGAGGTTCCCTATTTTGCCACCGCTGCTTCTAGAGAAGCTTCAAAGAAAGTGACTTATAGGTAGTGCTCGATAGTACTCCATTGAATTGTTAAACCTGCGAAGTTTATCACTTTGTAATTTTGGCAAAGTGCCATTCCTGCAATTTTGTGAAAACTAATATTTTTCCAGCAGAAATTAGGCATCCAGGCCCTCGTAGTAATCATGGCAAGCTATACACGCTTTGCAGCAGCTGTGCATGGACGCCGCCATAACTGACCTTCAGTTTTTGTTTCTTCATATTTCGTTTATTTCACTTCATCATTACCATAGCAGGCCAGGTTATTGCCATATTAGATTCAACTGTGTCCTTTTTTAAAGCGTCGGCCTTTGTAGAGGATCGTCAACTACCGTTTCAGTTGCTCGGCATCTCGGTAAGACAAGAGGAGGTCAGCAATGGCGGTTGTAATTTGGCGCGTGTGTAAAGCGTCTATATATTGGCACGGTAAACACTTTGCAATAATTTTCACTCTACAAAAATATGTTGCCATAACATTTTTTGTGGGTTGCAGGCTGTTAAATGTTGAATTGGGCATAATAGTAGTTGCATATTTGATCTCGCTTATACTTTTTATTATTATTCATAAACGTATAAGCCGAACAATAGCGTTCGTTGCGCAATTTGTCTCTTTTTAAAGTCTTTTCTTGTCTGCCCTTTTGGAAGTTTGAAGCTGGGTTTCATTCCCCACGCTCGTTTAGAGCCAAAAAGTCTGGATGCGGCTCTATAGTCTTTTATGAACAGTACTTTACGCTAGGCTTCGAAACACAGGGAAGTCTGAATCTGGTCAGTCGAGGGGCTAAATTTTCTATGCTTAGGAAGTTGATGTTTCATATTTTGCAATATTTTAAATTCCAAAACACTTGGCCTGCATACTAAATGGTTTGCATTTCGAGCAGGTGTTTGACGAGTGGAACAAGGGTGTGCTGGACTCCTTCCTCATCGAAATTACGAGCAACATTCTCAAATACAAAGATACCGACGGCGAGCCGCTGGTGACCAAGATCAGAGATGCCGCTGGACAGGTTGGTTTAATCAGTGTCTGGTATGCTGCATGTCTGCTGCGGGGAACTGTGCCATTTCCCACGTCAACTGCCGTTCTAAGATTCACTCATTCTTGAATCGCAGAAAGGCACGGGCAAATGGACGGCGATTTCTGCTCTTCAACATGGAATCCCGGTCACTCTGATTGGTGAGTCCCAATGTGAAAAATATTGCAGTTTGTAACATTTTAACAAGGCAACACCGACAATTGAGAAGGTAAACATCTTTGGATACAAGAAACTCTTCGCTGTGACGATACAGTAGTTTGTTGAAACTAGTTTTGCTTTAGGTGGTCATAGGGAAGATGGAAAGGTGGGATTTTCAATCTCCAGTTCTTTTGGAAACCATGTGTAAAACAAACGACCATCGTGGATCTTCCTGTGTATGTTTGGGGTTTTTGAATACTCAATAGAGGTCATGTGACACTTGGTCAATGGAGGTCATGTTAGATGCATATCAATCATTCTAATGGCTTGATTGCTAGGCTACAAGGATCAGGCAGTGAGTGCCAAGAAAGCAAAAAAGTAAGTAGCATTGTATAATGGCAGGCATGCAAGTGCTGCTGCTGCACTCTTTGCTTGAATGTTTCTAATGGTGTAAACAAGGTGAAGCTGAACTCTTACCCTGTATTTTTGGTTGCATTTATATTAGCAAAGAGAGGTTGCGGTGCAGGCCTAGGGGTGCAGTGAGAGCGAGGCTCTCCTTTGCCAGTATTTCGACAACGAATCACCAAAATTGCGACAACTACTAGCAAGAGCCGTTGGCTTTCATGACATATTCTGCTGCCACTTCGAGGTTGCTTTGAGTGGTATAGGATGCTTGGATACTACTATGCGTGTGCACCATACGTGGGTAAATTACTTTCAAAATGTAATTTAATTAGAATTACTTAGCTCTCAAAGTAGTTTAACTGCAATTACTACTACGCAAAAGTAGTTCATTGCAATTACAAATTACTTTTTAAAAGTGATGCAATTACTTCACAATTACTTATTTCTGAGAGTTACCCACCTTGGGCCATATAACTGTAAACGAGTTATATGGCCGCTGTATAAATGTCACGCATTGTACTTTCTTTTTTTTAAATTTGTTAAATGGATTATAGAACTTAATAGTTTGGAGTAATGAACTCCTGCGTTCTTATATTCTAAAAAAATAACAATAAATGGCGATCAAATTCACAGGTGCAAGGTGAATCTCCTTAGACCTTATGCAAATGGTGTCCAAGTCAAACCAACAAAAAATAAACTTAAAAATAATACAAGGAAACAAATATGCGACAGTACTGGTATCATAAAACTCACGTAAAGTTGGCTAATAAGAGAAACTTGTAAACGACGTCAAACATTTAAAGAATACGACAACTTATGAAAACATTTCAGCCACTATGATTCGCTGCCTCTCCCTGTCTGTGGACTAGTAACATGCCAGATGTGGGTAACCGTAGCACGCGAACTGTGGTCGCTTCCACAAAACTAGTATCACAATAGCAGCAACTCTATTGCCTGGGATTCTGGGTTAATCCAGTGTACGGTAACGCCCAAAAAGCTACTAAGATAGATAATAAATTTAGGATTGTCATGTAGCTAATCGTTAGGATAGTAATGATTGTATCTATGTTGTAGGTCTCATAAAGAAGACCGATTTGAATTTAGCATGGCAAGAACAACCTCGAAAAATGCATGATACGCTGCAAACGACTTTATTTTCGCGAATTTTGCGAATCGCCTACAATTCGCGAAAAATGAGTCCCGCGAGCAATTCCGGTAAAATGTAAACACATTGAAATCTATATTGCGACCCCACCGCGTTGTGAAAATTAGAATCCGCGAATTATCCCAAAACTGCGGCCTCTTGGACGCCTCGATTTCATGATTTACTTCAGCGTGTTTCAGCTGGAAGATATAGACGAGCCATTATTATTTTTTTTATAACTAAGTATTATTGAAAGTGACAAAAAAGTTGCCCACCTGCAAATGTTTCCGCAAATTGGAGGTCGCCTTTTGGTTTGTTGAATTTATTTTCAGAGACGGTGCGGAGAGTTTGCACCTCACGATTATATTTTTTACATTGCTGCTAATCTGTTTAAAGAATGTTTCGTAACGAGGCCCCGGCAGCCTTTCCTTTTCCATTTTCGATAAGACTGTTGCAGGTTCTCAATGCAAAGCAGCAGTGCGCGCCTTGGGACGGTTCCACAGGCCAGGACGAGAGGACAACGCGTGGGGGGTCACGATAGAGATGTAAAAACAAAGTGCAAGCCAAGCCCTCTATAAAAAAAAGAAGCCTTCAACGAACAACAAATGTAAAAACAAGCTCCCTACAGTCTAAAGCCGCGGTTTATAAGTTTTGGAATCTCGTCCAATCAAGCTGACAAACGGTTGAAAGGGTTAAATAGAGCGATCAGTAAATAATGATTTATACAAAAAGGCAGACGAGGATTGGGAGAAGGAAGAGCAGTGTAGCAACAACAGTTGGAAGTAAGGCAGGGTGAGTCGTGTTAATGAGACCTGCTGCTTCTTTGCTTCTTCGCCTCGATGTTAGAATAGCACGACTTACTGTTAGTAGTGGTACCAACATACAAGATAGAGGAGAAGGACATGAAAAACTCATAAAGAAAAGAGAATAATTTCGTGAACAAAAAGTCCCCAAACTTGACTGAAATGTGTAAGCGAATATGCCGGCGGCGAAGACGCGTAAGGAGAACCTCGAACCTCCCCGCCTCGACCGGATGATGTGATCGGAGCCAACCAGCTCGACTTCGACCCCAGATGCCCCCGTGTGGGAATGATAGATAAGAAAGACTCCTAGAAACAGGAGCAACAGGAAGCGAACGAGACGAAGAGTCAGATTCAACTACGACAGGAACGAAAACGGACGCGAATGTAGCCCTCATTTATCAAATTATTTCTCAAACTCTTCATTAAATCGTTTTACACTCTACAAAATCCTTTATCCCGTTCTATCCCAGCATCTTTCCCATCCCTCTATTCCCTTTTTTTGAGCAGGTTGGGAGACAGTCTCTCCCTTGTCGCTTTGGCTGTGCTGCCTTCTCTGTGGCCAGGGGGGAAAAGCGCCGCCGCCGCAAAATCTTGCAAAGTAATTGTAATTGTGCCTGAAATTTAGCAATTACTGACGCTAGAAAGTAATTAAATTACAATTACAATTCCTTTTGGCCAAAAGTAATTACTACAATTACAAATTACCGGGAAAAGTAATTAAATTGCAGTAATTTAATTACTGTAATTGAATTACTACCCAAGTATGGTGTGCACAATTGTGGCAATTGGCACAGTGAAAAGTGCATTCAGACTGAGGACACGAGTTTTCTTTGTGTGCAGGGGAGGCCGTGTTTGCACGCTGCCTCTCGTCACTCAAGGACCAGAGAGTGGAAGCAAGCAAGATCCTCAAGGGCCCCAACGGCAAGTACGAAGGACAAGCTTCGGATTTCGTGGAGCATGTCAGGAAGGTAAGGTGCACTTCGCAACTGACGATTAATAAATACCCCAATGTCTGTACCTTTCTCCTCTTTGTAACAACCTGTCCTATCATGACCATTGTAGAATTTGTTTTGTTTTTTAAACTTTTGCATGTTTATTTGCAGGCCCTCTATGCCTCCAAGATTGTGTCCTATGCACAAGGCTTCATGCTGCTTCGCAGTGCAGCCCAGGAATACAAGTGGTCCCTCAACTACGGAGCCATTGCCCTGATGTGGCGAGGTGGCTGCATTATCAGAAGGTAATGCAATACTTGCAAGAGACCAGTGGTGCTCCTCGAGGATTAGTGTGGGGGGGTGGGATATATTTTATTTCTAGAGTTTGAAAGTGCTTACATTTATTAAGGCCAATAATAAAAAATCTCCACGTATTAATATATGGTTACCGATATGACAATGTCAGCAAGCAACACATGCACATTGTTAACAGGACAACATATTCTCTGCAAACAAGGCTTCATAGAAAGATTTGAAGCTGTGAAAATTGGAAAAAGATAACACTCGGAGCACTTGGGGTCAAAGGACAGGCATATACCACATCTATGTCACCCATGCCAATTACACAGAATTACTTGGCTCTACAGTTATTAGGAACAAGACAACGTCGGCAACAACCAGTAACTTTTTACAGGTCTGTAGAAGCAATCCCAAGCTGTCATGCGAGAGGACCATACTAGCAAATGGGTTGGACCAGTTGCATGGTTGAACCTTTCCTTGCTGACAATCCGATCTGATGCTTACAAAGTGGTTCAGTAAGCCCTCTCATAGTGTACTAACAGGTGTGAATGAAATGAATGAAGTGTGACTGACAGCCTTCAATGTTGCTGTTCTACCTGGAGGAACTGTGGAGTGAAAGGGAGGCTGCGAGGGTGTGCACATCGAAGTAGACGCGCACCCTTGCACCTGCTTCATAGCCTTTTTCTCCTCTCCAGTTGGTAACGTTCTGTGCTACCTGATAGTGCATGTACTTATTTGCTCTGTGGGACTATTCCAACCTACCTTGTTTTTGCTCCTTCTACCAACGTGTCTCCACGTCATGGCTGCGACACACGTGTGCCCTGCAGCGCCTTCCTGGGCAACATCAAGGCTGCCTTTGACAAGAACCCCGAGCTCAGCTGCCTGCTGCTGGACTCGTTCTTCGTGGATGCCATCCAGGACTGCCAGGCGTCCTGGCGTCTGGTGGTGGCCTCTGCAGCCCAGCTGGGCATCCCCGTGCCGGCCTTCAGCACTGCCCTTGCCTTCTACGACGGCTTCCGCGCAGAGAAGCTACCCGCCAACCTCATTCAGGTGCGCTCCTCCTGCAGGCCTTATTTATCTTTTTTTACGGCGGTAGCGGTTGTTCGCGAGGTATCGCAGTGGATCCCGTGTCTGTTTTGTGTATGTACAATTTGGCCTGCTAAATTTAGGGGAAAATTTTATCCGCTAAGTCTGACAGAATTTGTGTCGTGACGTTGTGACTTCATGTCAGTGTCGCAAATTTCTGCTAAACTTGGCGCACAATTTCTCCGATAAATTTAGTGGAAAATTTCTCCGAAACATTTTGCGGGAAATTTCTCCGAAACATTTTGCGGGAAATTTCTCCGGTAAATTTAGCAAGAATTTAGTGTCTCAGGGTCTTGGCGCCATGTGGTGCCAGTGTCACGTGATGCCATGGTGTCACCGGGACGCAAAATTCTGTGAAATTAAACACAGCAGTGTAACTGTATGCAGCAGTGTGCAGTGTCTTGGCTGTTGCCACAGTTCATTCGTTCGCGGGTTACTGCTAAAAACCACAATTTTTTTTTTTTTTTTTTTTTTTGTGAGCTTATTGGTTGATGTTCCTCCGCTACAGTGTTTTCGGTGTGCGGTGATTGTCGATTGCATAGGCATTGGTGCCTGCAACACCTCTTTATTTCCGATCTGTCGATACGGGTTGCCTGTGTTGATTGCACTTGTCCTGAATTGGTTAGTAGTTTAAGGGGTCCAGGATCCCTATAAGAGCTTGTGAATGTTCATATTCGGACAAATTTCAAAGCGTGCACCTTTGTTTTTTGTCCAGCTGCATAAAGTATGTTTAAACGTGTCTTTAGCAGCTGTCCATCTCGCTGGTGTGACAATTATTTTCGTACTGAGGGGGTATTCTCGGAGCGTTCTTATACACAGTGGGAAAACCCCCATCAGCTATCCTTAGTCAGCTCCATTGGTCTGTTGTAAAATTTGTTTCTCGAGACTTTAAAGGACCCTGTATCCCCCCTTCGCTCCCCTCATCATTTTCTATTCATCAATTTGTTTTTTACTAATATTTTCGGTTTCCTTTGGTCGGTGTACCTGTTCCGACTGCCAGCTAAAAGAAGCACTCGCTGAGCGATAGTCTAGTAGATTCCTTAAACTAAAAGGGATATGAAATGATTTTTCAACTTCTTCTTTCTTGGCTTTCCTCCTCATCTCACAAATTGCGCAGCGTTACCGAAGGTACAGGGGCGAGAGTATACCGTTAGCAGTTTAAGAAGAGGTAGAGGAGGACCTATCCTCTTGCTCAGACCTCCCTTTGTGTAACGCTGCGCGATTTGTGAGTTGAGGTGAAAAACTAAGAAAGAAGCTGAAAAATAATTTCGTGGCCCCTTTAACGAAAGGTGCGGTGCAATGACCTTCGAACTCTGACCAATTAACTGCGGGGATTAATCTGTCGGGTATAAAACGAAAAACTGAAAACCGCATTTTCTTGCGCGCGCTAGTTGTTTCCCGTTGGGTTCTCTCTTCAGAAACCCCTGCCGCTTCCTCCGCGATTGACGACTTTTCAAGGATTAGCATCGTCGAAGGTCGATGCTAATCGACCTTCGACGATGCAATAAATTGACACAGAGGACGTTTCGCCACGGCGCTGACGGCGAATGTAGCGGCGGAGGGAGACAGGTTTTGTTGACCTGCGCGTGTTCCCCAGAGATGTGTCACCGTTGTTTCCGTAACCACCACACGTGGCTGCAGATCGGCAAATAATCCATTTTTTTCCTTTCTTTGCGTTTACGCAGCGGAAAAGCTTTTTTTTTTTTTTTTTTTTTTTTTTTTTGGGGGGGGGGGGGGGGGGGCAACGTGGCACGTTTTTTGTCACTTGTCCCTGGATACAAAACCGTAAAAAAAAATACGTACTGCAAATTCTTTGACATTAAAATCGTTGCACTTTTGAGCTGAACGCGTTAGCAGTACACCGACGTCAAATACGTGAACAGTGGACCGACATGGATGTATCCTTAAACAATTGTTGAGTCGACTGTAGTCTTCCTCCACTCGCGGACAACTTTCTGTGAAATTTCTTGAGGGAGGGGAGTGCGTGTGCACATGCTCCCGTACCTTTGACTGCAAAGCCATAGGAAGTGGTTCCCGACTCCGAGTGTAATATATGTTGGGTCCATGAGCTGACGAAATGCATTGCCTTAATTCCAGGCCCAGCGAGACTACTTCGGGGCCCACACGTACGAGCGACTGTCCGAGCCCGGCAAGTTCGTGCACACCAACTGGACGGGAACCGGAGGAAACGTGTCTTCGAGCTCCTACAACGCCTGATCACTCTCTTGTCTGGCCTCTTCGAGGCTCGTCTTTGTGTGCGAGAGATGTCCCTTTTTTACTAGTAACTGAGAAACAATTTATTTTTTTTGCACGGAATAAAAGTTTACACTATTTACTGTTGACCATCCCTTGACCTGACTTTCAGTCTTGTTCCCTAGAAACTTCTGGGTGAGAAATGGTGCAAACTGCTTAGAGTCGCTCTAGTACGAACTATGGAAGGCATTGTTCATAGTATTTGCACGCCGGAGAAAAGCGCCGTCGGAGAAAAAAAAAATTGAGGTTTTAGCACTAACCGTTATTTTGCTCAAATGTAAGTGATTTTTTTAAAAATTTCAATTGGAAAATGGCAGCCGACGAGCTCTCGAACGCGTGGAACTCTATGGCGCCAATTACCGAAAACGAAAAACTGAAAAATTTTAGCGAATTACTTAAACTTTTGAATAAAATAACGGTTAGTGCTGGAACTTTGGCATCTGGTTTGGACCGCTAGCGTTACGTGTAGTCGGAGAATGAGCGTTCAGCGATCCATAGTTCATTTTTTGCAGTGAGCAAACACCAATTTCTTTGTAAAAACCTTTAAACTTAAAGCGATTTGTTTGTGAATATTTCGTCGTGCACGTTGACGTAGTGATATTGTTTGTTTGTTTATTTCTGGGGTGACGGGAAAGGGTGGACACCAGGAGATTGTGGGCCTCCGTTGATGGAGCGAGTCACCACCTGGTGGTTTAGGGAAGGGGATGAAAAGGGGAATAGGGGAGAGTAAAAGAAGGAGAAAAAGGGCAATCTTTGCATACTGTGAGTGCTACGCAGAGAGGCTCAAGAAGGTTGTTGTTGAAAACTTTATTGAACCAAACAATAGACCGAAGTCTAGTTTACGGGTTCGAAGGGTTGGGGGTATGGGACTGTCTCATGCATAGGCGTTTCTTCCACTTGTCTTCGATTTTCTGCGCCCTGGAGATGACTTCCAGTTGCGTGCCGATGTCTTCGGCAACCAGTAAAGTTTCCCATACCGGTAGGCCATCTTCTACCTGGAGGGTGGCAGGTAGCGGGTTTGCAGGGCATTCCCAGTACACGTGCCGCCAGGTTCCTTCTTCCTGGTTGCCGCAGTCTTCACATTTGCCACTAAAGAGGTCTGGCCAGGACCTCTTTAGTATGTGGGGAGTGGTGTTTCGAAGTTGGAGTCTTCTCCAGGCACTTTCTTGGAGTCGGCTGAGCTTCTTGTGTGGAGCTGCCAACGTCTGTCTTCGTAGCCGGAGTCTCTCGAGGATTTCACCATAACCTGCAGGCCCCATTGTGTTTGTCGAGGCGCTATAGTTATGGTCCCCATGTGTCGTGGGGAGGCCCATTCTGCCAGTGGTACGGAGATGAAGACCGCGTACCACCAGCATGTGGGCCGTTTCGTTTCCTGTGTGCCCGGAGTGTCCGGGCACCCAGGTTAACGTATGGTTTGCTTCTTTGCTGATCTGGGCTCTGGCGTAGAGCTTGTATGCTGCTAGTCCAACTCTTCCCAAACTTGTATTGGTGATGGCTTTCTTGGAGTCGCTTGTGACGATGGCGTACATTTCTCCTCTACTTGCTGCTTGTACTCTCGCAAGGGCGATGGCTGCTTCCTCGGCTTCCTCTATCGACTTGGCGCTGATTGTGGCCATTGAATCTTGTCTCGCATTGTGTACTGCTATTACAAATTTTCCTGGCCTGCCTGGATAGGGTCCAGCATCGGCGTGGAAGATGTGCACCTTTCCTTCGTGCAGCTTGTTCAGAGCTTTGGCTCTAGCTAGCCTTCGTCCTGAGTTGTGCGCCGAACTCATATTCTTCGGAAGGGGAATACTCCGTACTGTGTCAATCCATTCTTGTCGTATAGAGTGTTTCTCCTGCATTTCCTGGTCCATTTGCAAAACACCTATGTCCTGTAGGACCCGCCTTCCAGTTCGGGTTTGTGATAATCGCTGGATTTGCACCTGTCTTTGTGCTTTTCTCATTTCATCGAAAGTGTTGTGTATCCCCATTTGATCGAGTCCATCGTTGGATGTTTTCTGACTAATTCCCAACGCAGCCTTGAAAGATCTTCTTATAATGACATCTAGGGAGTCTTCCTCTGCCTTCTTTAAGTTCATGTAGGGTGCAGCGTACATTATTCTACTTAATGTGAAGGCGTGCACCAGCCTACACGTTCCACTTTCTTTGAGTCCGTAACTTCTTTTGGATGTGCGCCTTATGAGTCGCGCGACATTATCCGCCCGCTTCCTTAATTTAGTGAGCGCTTCTCTGTTTCGATCCTCGGTAGATACTATCATCCCCAAAATCTTTACTTGATCCGCTCGTGGGATGTCCATCCTCTGTAGTTTGATGTAGAATTCTTCGTTCTCCCTTAACTTGCGATTCTTTGATGTGCGGACTAGTAGCACTGATTTATCGGTGGCACATTCGAGTCCAGCCTCTTTCGCTTCTTGTCGTACAATCTTTATGCCAGCGTTTATAACGTTGTTTCTAGACGGTGACGGCAGAGCAGTCCAGAGTGTTATATCATCGGCGTACACTGCATGTTTGAGTCCTTCAACTTCTTGAAGCTTCCTTGACAAGGGGATCATTATCAAATTAAAGAGTAGCGGCGATATTACCGATCCCTGGGGTGTTCCTCTTCCTTTGTTGACCTCTAGTTCGTCGGTTAGCTCTCCTTCTAGTTGTATTTTGGCCGTCCTGTTCTGTAAGAAATCCTTGATGTAGTTGAATGTTCTCTCGCCCAGGTTGAGTGCAGACACTTGTCGTAGGATTGCGACGTGAGAGACTCGATCAAAGGCCTTTCTAAGGTCGAGTGCAGCTAGTGCTGTCCATTTCTGCTTGTGTACACCTTCCTTGAGTTGGAGAAGAACATCTTGCGTGGATAGCTGTTTTCTAAATCCAAACATGTGTTCCGTGAATAGGTTGTGTTCTTCCATGTGCTCTTGAATCCTTGTTTGTATGATGCGTTCTAGTACCTTACCCACGCACGAGGTGAGTGAGATTGGTCTTAGATTGTCGATGGTCAGAGGCTTGCCGGGCTTGGGGATGAAACACACCGTCGCGTGTTTGAAGGCCTTTGGAATGACCCCTGATGTCCAGATTTCGTTAAAGTAATTAGTGAGGCACCCCACTGAATTGTCGTCCAGGTTCTTTAGCATTCTGTTGTTGACTTTGTCTTCTCCAGGGGCAGAGGAAACCTTGAGTTTAGCTAGTGCCCGTCTTATTTCATGTTCCTTGATTGGAGCGTCTAATAACGGGTTGCTGTTTCCTGAGTAGCTTACGTCATTTGCCCTTGCTTCCGGTGGAGCGTCTAGGTACCTGGCGTAAAGGTCGGCAATGAGGTCTTCCGTGTTTCCCACATAGTCTCTCATTAACTTGATGAGAAGTTTTTGCGTTTCCGGCTTGGTGTTTTCCGGGGCCAGTATCTTGCGAAACAGATGCCACGGGCTCTTCGTGTGGAGCATGTTCTGCGCTTCATCGCATACTTGCTGCCATTTCTGGTGGTTTAGCTGTTTGGCATAGTCTTCAATATCTTTATATAACCTTGACGCTCTTTTCCTCAGCTTGCTGTAGCGTTTACCAGTGCTCTTCCATCTGTTGTATGAAGAATAATACGCTTCTAACATATTTCCGAGTCTGGAGTCGATGGTTTCTGCTTGCGTGGGGTTTTCGATCTGCCTCGTTGCGTTCGCCGCGTCTTCTACAACCGTGGCGCTCCATTCCTCGATGCTTGTGAAGACTCTGTTTTCGCGCTCTCGTCGGAACTTGTCCCAGTCTACGCAGGGTTGTATTCTTGCCTTGCGTGGAGTGTAGCCCGGAAGCGTAGCCTGAACTTCAATGATATAGTGGTCGCTCCCTGAATTCTCTTGCGTGTTCTTCCAGACGACATCTTCCAGGTTGACCGAGAAGGCAAGATCCGGCGTAGTATTTTTTTGCACGCTGTTGCCTATTCTTGTGGGGTACGTTACGTCGTTGAGTAGGACTGCGTTGTACCTGTCTGCTGCATCTATGATTGCTTTGCCTTTGACTGAGTCCGTTCTATACCCCCATATTGTGTGGTGCGCATTAAAGTCCCCTAACACTATGGCGGCGTTATCTACAAGCAGTGGATTGAGTGCTTTGAAAACTTGCGCGCATTCCGCAGATGCGTCTTTCGGGCTGGAGTACATGTTGCATATGAACAGACTTCGTTGCTTTTTGCGTTTGGGGAGAATTTCGGTGACTATGAGTTTAGTGGGTCCGTCCATCGAGACTGTGTGCTTTTTGACGGCCAAGTCTCGCCTGACGAACGTGCAAATGTTTTTCCCCGTTGTGCCTTGTTCCGTGTCAAACCTGTCGTATCCGGGTATACTGCCGTTCGTATCCGTTTCTTGAAGTGCCAGTACATCGGGTGGTGATTTGCTGTTCATCAGTATCATCTTGAGCGAGTTGATCTTGGTACCAAGACCACCCGCATTCCACTGCCAGATCTTGAGTCCGCCTCTACCTTCCATTTTGGGCGTGTGACGCTGACGGTATCAGTCCTATGTGCGTCTCAATCTTGCGGAATCTTTCCTCGCACGAGTTCTGTAGAGCGATCACAGTGTTCTTTAGAGCGCTCACGTTGTTCTGCAGAGTGCTCACACTGTCGTTCAGAGCGGACATTCCCTTGATCACGTCTCGCATCATTGCGTACAATTCGTCCGTCCTCTTGCGTGTGTTCGAGCCATCCTCTGCATCCGTGCATACCGACACGTCCGTGCTTTCGGAGTCGGCTCTGCTTCTTCGTTTCTTGGCAACACGTATTTCGGATTGTGCGTCTTCGGTTTCCATTTGCGTCACTGGTGCCGCCTTCTTTCTCGGGTCCCGTGTCACTGGCTGCGCCTGCATTTCAGATGGTCCGGCTTCTTGTCGCTGCGGGGTCATGGCTTCTTGGAGCTTTTGTCGAAGTTCCTGGATTTCCCTCTCCGCAGCAAGCTTTTCCCTCTTTAGAGTTTGATACTCTATGCGCATGGCGTCGAATTTCCTTTCCATCTCCTTGCGGAGCTTATCCAATTCCGTTTCCTTCTTGTCAGTCTCTTGCTTTCGGAGTGCTTGCGCATATCCCTCCTTGGGTTTGGGCGCAGTTTCTCCCTT